CTCCCCTCACAGAGGGGAGAGGGATTGCGTTTGCGCTTAAAATTCAAACGCGACGTGGATGCCCCCTCCCCCCCCCTTGAACAAGGGGGAGAGGTAAGGTGAGGGGGTGCGGTTCAGTATGGCGTGCCATCCTTATGCATGAACACATAGCCGCCGTCGCGATGCTCGGCCTTCAGGTCGTCTTCAGGATTCTCGCCGCTATCCCCCGGCGTGCGGTCCCCAATCTCCAGATAGGTGACAACTGAGCCGCTCTCGTTGACCAGATGGTGGGCCAGCCCCTCAGCGGGAAAGCCGATGCAGTCGCCCGGCTGAAGCTCCTGCTCGAACGGATCGCCGAGCGCCCGCTTTACACGCGCTCCGACGCGAGAGCGAAACGGTTCGGGATTCCCAGACATCGAGCTGCGGACCGGTATATCTGTGGCGGGCAAGGCCCGGCTTGGGGCATTTGTCATTGCGAGAGCTCCGGCGGCGTGACAACGGGCCCGACGATCTGCTGATTCAGACATTCGCACACCGCGTTCACGTCCTGCGGGTCATGGGGCGTCTTCAACCCCGCCATCGCGATGAAGAAATCGTGGTGATGGGACGGAGTCGAGACCAGCACCAGCGTATTGGCCCCATCGCCGACGCCAGAGAAGCTATGCACATCGCCGCGCGCCACAAAAATGACGTCGCCAGCTTCGGCGTATCGCCTTTCATCACCGATCAGGAAGTAGAAGAAGCCCGACGTGACGAGGAAGCATTTATCTTCCTGTGGCGAAATGTGCGCGGGGGCCCCGGCCGCTTTCTCAGCCCTGATTTCCATGACGGTGAAGGGCGCATCAGCCGAGCCCTGCTTCACCTTGGCACGCAGCCCGGAAAAGCAGACTTCGGTCTGAGTGGATAAACAGCGGCTGGGTTCGGCAACAAGGTGAGAAGCATGAGTCATGAAGCGGTCCTCCTGTATGAATGAGGCGGACCTACAATCTCCACATTGATTTGATAAGTGGACAAAAATGGAAACTCTATCCAGTTTATCGGACAATGAAGTCCTATACCTATCTGAAAACCTTCGCCGAAGTGGCCCGTCGCGGCAGCTTTATCGCCGCGGCCAGTGCTCTTGATCTGCCGCGCTCCACCGTCAGCCAGCATGTTCAAAAGCTGGAGGCCGAACTGGGCACCCGCCTGATCAAGCGTAGCACCCGGGCCCTGTCCCTAACGGCCGCAGGTCAGCGCCTGTTTGCCGACAGCGACGCTTCGCTTGCCACCCTGGAGCGCGCCCTGCGTCAGGCCGAGGCTGGAACGGACCTGCTTCACGGCAAGATCACGCTGTCAGCGCCCGCTGATTTTGACCCGTCTGCAATTTCGAGCGCGATGAAAGCCTTTCGACAAAGCCATCCCGGCATCGAGTTTGACATCCGCCTGTCCAACGACGCGGTGAACCTGATTGAGGACGGTGTCGACATCGCCCTTGGCATCACCGGCCGCAGCGATGGCGGCCGGGTGGAGAAGCAGGTTCTGGCCGTCGACTGGTGCCTGTGTGCCAGTCCTGAATTCCTGGCCACCGTAGGTCATCCGGCACTGATCATCCGCTCGTCTTCGGACAGCTGATGGGTCAGGTGCAGCGGGTCTTCC